TTTTCTTTAGTATATTTTTCTTTCTTTCTTATACTTTCTTTTCCTTTGCACTTTTTACTTTTTCTACTCTTCTTTCTTTTAGTTTGTATTAGTTTTTATTATTGCAATTATAATCTTTAACACAATTATTTTTTTTAAAGTGAGAGTTGGTGTGGTATAGTGGTTAAGGTATTGAGTAGGAATAGGGAGACCCAGGTGTAAGTCCACCCACATCCACAGCTCACTGGGAGACTTTGATCAGTCCAACCTATTTCACAGGACTGTTTTGTGGGGGAAAAAATGGGTCTTGTACTGTGCTTAGATATAAGCACATACCAAATAATAATATTATTGACAAATTCTTTTTACTTAATGTATTATGCTGCTTCAGTTAATCTGTCTCTGAGTAGTTTACAAGCAGCATTACAAATAATGTAATAATATTACAGTCACCATAAAACAATCAAAATACATCATAACCATACTTCTGTTAGAAACATCACAATATTACCATAATAAAACATAGCATCATACATTATCAGAATCTCCTCACACACCCAGGTACCTCTGACTTTCCATGCTTCAGTTCCCAAATGCTTGTTAGAAAATGGGCCGTTACTTGTACTATTTGCATTTTTTTAGAAGATCTTCAAGGGCAGCCGCATGTGGACTGCATTACAGTAGTTTACCTGTGAGATGACAAGGGCTTGAGTGACTATTGCTTCTGTTCCAGAAACTGTCACAACTGAGGCAGCAACTGAGTTTCGGCAAAAGCTCTCCATTCACAAGTTCTACCTGCAGTTCCAGCAGAAGCTGAGAATCCAAGAAAATCTCTAGACTGTGTACCAGCTGTTGCTGGAAGGCACAGCCTCATCCAGAGCTAAAGTTAGTATTATTCCAGAGTCAGATAAACTGTAGTCACTCCATCTTTCCAGGGTCAAGTCTCTGTTTTTCTCCATCTGTACCCTTACAGTCACCAGACACCAGGACAAGACTGTTACTACATCTCCCAGACTGTCTGAGGTTGACATATGTAACTGGGTATCATCAGCATATTGATAATATTGAATCCAAAACTGTTGATGTCGCTCAGCAGATTCATGCAGACATTAAATACAAGGGGGAAAGGGTTGATCCTTGTGGTACCCCATATCAGAGGGTCCAAAGGCCATACATATGCAAGGATATAGTACTTCTGCTTTACAAGGTGTAGCCATGAACTTAGGCCCATATTGTGTCCAGTTGGATTTACTCCTTGTCTTCCACCATTGTCACTCTAAGTATCTCCTCTGGCACTTTATTGCCAGGTGCTCCTCAGAAAATCAAGGGACTCCTGAGACCGGCATATAGGAAGAGGATCTTTAGAAGCAATCCTATCAAGAGCTTTGTTATCCCTATATTCCAAAGTTCAACTTGGCTCGTGGCAAAACCACTCTCCAGATTGTTGGGACACTCCCCAAGTGCCATCTGGAAGCCATTTGGATCCATCAGATGCACTATTTCATTGCTGTATGTGTTTGGATCATTTTAACCTACTCTGATCCTTCCCTGTCGATGCAGTACATCAAAGTCAGCATGAGCTACATAGTCTGGGACTTAGGAAGTTGTCTTGTCTCAAGTGAGATTATTGGTCCACCTAAACCTGAACTGCCAACTCTTATTGTCAGGAGCTCTCCAGGGCATGATGCAAAGGCCTTTTGTCTTTCATATTATCTGCTATCTGATCCATTTAGCGGAAGATGCCAGGGAATAAGACTGACCTTCATGAAAGCAGGTGATCTGTCACTGAGCTTTGAGTCCATGTGACAAGCTTCTGAAGATGAAGATGGAATAGCAGCTTTTCACCAGATTTATCTTGCGTGTGCTCTAGTGCCAGCAAGATACATAGAGGGTTTCCAGGTGGATGCTTCTAGGGAGAATTGCTATATTTTTTAAAATCCCAGATATATGTTTACAGATGGCCAGTCTATTGGTTTAAATTTATATGCCAGATGAATTCCAGAAGTTTATATGCCAGAAGAATCTAGACTGATAATTTGGCAGGTCCTGTTCCCCATTTCCATTTCATTCACACAATTCTAAGCCAATTCACCATTTTGCATTCTAGGAACACTGAAGTACCAAGAGAAATCTTCTCCAAAAGTACTAATTTAAGGGGTAACATTCTGAGCCTCAAGTTTGAAGGAAATACCCCTTTAAAGAATTATCAAATACTCTCCCACTGCAATTTTTCAAGAGAACAAACATACCTTCTGGGCATCTATGATTCTTTCTGTGCATTCTTTGCAGCATAATTTTTCTGTTTACTTAAAAACATAATTGAGACTGGACAGAATGGACCCAAAGAGAGAATATTACATTAAGCTAATAAAAGAACCCTGCATTTTAGCCTAAGGAGCTAATTGTTTTCTGCGTTTGCTGGTAATTTTGCAGGTTCTGTGCAAAAATGTTTATTTAATTAAACAAGCCTGCATAAAATGTCATTTCCTATTTGTATCTATCCATCCATCTATCCATCCAAAGTATAGCTTGTCTTTCATTCAGGACCTCAAGGAGGCATACATAATGCTCCCTCATCCTATTTTTCCTCACAATAACAATTATGTGAAGTAGATTGGGCTGAGAAAGAGTGACTGGCTCTAATGAGTCACCTAGTGAGCTTCAGTGGCTGACTGAATTTTCAGACTGTTAAGACTCAGCATGTATTATAGCTAAGGCTTTGCAATTTTTTTTTTCAATAGTTAATCATTATCCCCCCATCATACTATTATTCATCATTTCTTTGCTATTTAGAGTAGAAGCTGCATAGCTAGCTAGCACTGAAACATCTTTGTCGTATTAGAATCACGTGGAAGAAGAAAGTTTTAGCTTGACTTGACTGTATCACATTGGCTAAATAAAATGAGAGAATTTCATTCTGAGTGTTTCTTCCCCTCGTTTTAAAATTGTTTACTTCTGAATAGAAACATTTGTCTCACAAGTTTCTGTTGAGTTGAGGTGCTAATTTTGTTATTAAGGATCATTAACTGACACTGTAAGCTATTTATTTATTTGTTTGTCATATTTGTATAACCGCCCATCTCACAGGCAAGTGACTCTGGGCAGCATACAACAAATGAACACATTTCTTCACTGTGGAAGGTGTACCAACAGCACAAGGGGGCAGTGGTGTCTAGATACAGATTTACTCTATACCCTTCTTTGTCTTTCTGCTGGTTGGTAATCTGTGGTCACGTCTTTCTGCCTTTCTTCCCAGGCACACACGCGCACAGCATATGCTCTTTGACTCTCTGCTCAGTAGGATGTAGTTAGCTAGATGCTAGGCTTTGCTTGTGTCTATAAAGTATTTCATGTAAACAAATCTCTTTTCTGTTACAGCTATGAACTTGCTTCCATAATCATTCCTTGGGTCAGATTCCTGCTCACACAAATACACAGAATGCTTCAACCTCCAATCTTCATGTACTACTGTATATATCAGGGCTCTAAGTGCTTCAGAACTGAAGACAAAAGGGTACATAAGAACATTCAGGGGCACACACAAAGCCCAGTCTGCCACCCCTCAAACCAAACTCAAGCTGTGGGCCATGAGTAAATTTGAGGGAGGTTGCAAATGTTTAAGTGGCCACAATGGCTGAAGGGCAGGAACTGTAGGGTTTGCATCATTCCAGTTCTGGGAAAGGCAAGAAAGGAGGAGTTTGAACAGGGAGTGGCACACACCCGACAGGAAGAAGTGTAGCCTGCCTACTGTTCTCTTGGGATTTTATTCATGATATGAAATGAACACCCCAGCAGGATCAACCAACCATGAAAGTCCAAGAAACCACCCATAGTAGGGATTGGCTTGTTGGCGGAAAGCAGGCAAGGTTTTGCTACTCTTGCACCCCTGCATGCTGTAGAACATCTTCTGCTGTACAGTCCTAGTGGATAATCACAGGCCAAGCTGACTTAGTATCATGTGGGATGATGCAGTGATGGCTACTGAGGCCAGCTGTTACCACTAGGAAATGAGCCAATTACAGATGAGGCACCACAATGACACATCTTTTGCTGTTCCTTCTGAGCTTCTAGCTCTTCTCTGATCTTGGGACCCAAAACATTGTGGGCAACAAGACTTGTCCTGTATCTTGCTAACTAGCCTGTTGCTGCCAGGTATAGTAGACCATTGCATCTCATGGCCAGTACTGTTACATTCAGCTAAACTCCATTTGGCTTCTGTAGGAAAAGAGTGGGGGGGGGGCACAATATGACATCCTTTGCCTCAAGGAGAAAATCATCTTGGGGTGGTCCAGTTTCTGAGAGCATAAATCTATGTTATAAAAAAGAAACTAAGAAACATAAGAGTAAGTCTGTCACTGCACTTCCTAATAATCAACCACGAGCACAAGTGCCGTTTCTTTGGGAACCATAACTCAGTGCTAGAACTATGGCCCCTATACAGAAGGACCTTATACTGAAGAACAGAGGTTCAATCAAACTGGAAATATGGAGCAGTAATTAATAAGACAGACCCCTGAGATCCTGGAATAATACAATTGGTCAAATTACATAATGTTGGGCTGACTGATCTATCTCAACATATAGCATTTTCATGTGAACAGACAGGCATGAAATGGGCAGTGTGGACCCTTTCAGATACATTGCCGAACCTCAGCTCCCATTAGCCTTTGCAAGCATTGGGCATGTTAGTAATGATGGAAGCTGATGTCCAAAAACATCTTGAGGACCCCAGGTTGGCCTGCTTCTGACAGAGGCCTAGTATCATTGAGAGTATTCTACACATAACAGTCTTGCTACTGCCAGAAAACAGCCGTACTCTCCTATTTTTATTCTTCCAAGCTACATTTAGTGCCTGCAGGATCCCCTCTAAGGCAGTGTTTCTCAGCCATTTTAAGATGTGTGGACTCCAACTCCCAGAATTTCCCAGCCAGCATGGAGAGTTATGTTCAATTTGAAAATTATTGTTTTAAATCTGCACTTGAGACCATTGCATTTGGCTTACTTGATCAACTCGTATTTACCTTGGTGAACAACGTTAACACAGGTAGTTTAGCACTGGCTTCACACAACATCCTTTGAAGTGGTTTTGAATACTTTGTGAGATGCAGGGTCCGACTCTGAAGCCAGAGCATCTTTGCCCTGTTGAAATAATAAAATATTCCCCTGAAATTGCACATATGGTACATTTTAATTGCCAACCATAAGTTATGTATCAGTAGACAGTCCCCATATAGGAGTGGTGCTAAATGAAATATGTAAAATATAAATGCGATTGTATATTATTTTCACAACACTTGTTTACTATTGAACAAGCAGAATTTAAATTTGATTACATTTTCTTGCTGTAGGGCTTCTTTTAAATTCACTAACAAAGCACACTGGTATAAATGTATTGCACTGTTTCAAGAAAAAACAGAGTAAGACTTACCCACTATTAGCAGAATACAAAGAGTTGTGCTTTGAACCTCTCTTAATCTAATCACATTGCTTTACATAAAGTATTGATAGTTCTTCAGAATGACTCTAATAAACAGCTGCTTTTGTATTTCATTGAAATACTAAACTAACGTGTCTGGCAGCAAGTATGAAAAACAGACAAGATGAAATTACTCTGTAATGTGACTTAAAAGCTTGCAGATTACATTGCAGGTAAAGAAACAACAATAACTTAATATATGAAAATATTTATTGTTGGCTTGTTTAAAAAAGACATTTTGGAGGATTAAAAATGTATTGTTTAAATATTTGGAGGATGATTTTAAATCAATATTTTGGGTCTACATGGGTGCTTTAAACTGTTGATTTATGTTACATTTTTCTTCTATGCCTTTTCTTCTTTTTGAAAACTCTGTATCTGGGGTCAAGCATGCAACTGCAATAAATAAAGATTATAGTTATAATCCAAAACAATTATGTTCATTTGCAGTGCAATTCCGTAGATATCTACCTTGAAACAAGTTCCAGTAAATGAGACTTACCTCTAAGGAAATGTATGTAAGATTTCAATCTTACAGTGCAATCTTATTTATTTCTTTGTTTATGTGCTGCTTCCCACATTTAGAAGAAATATCTTGAAACAATCTATTTTATGCCTCTCTGTTTGGATGTAAGTCAGTTTGTTGATTGGGACATAAATCTTAACAGATATGTTTAGGATTGCAGCCTTAAATGCATTGATTTCAGTGGGCAGAGACTCTTACTTCAACTGAGATTTTTATCTTCCCTCTCCTCTACTATGAAACTCAAATTTAAAGCACGTCTAATTCTATGATGGATTATAACCTATGTCTACCTACCTACAGTTTGATTACACTATTGATAATCATCACCATACAATCTGTAATGTAGATAAATCCAGTTACAGTTCTGGTTTGTACTGACACTAGTATCACAGATGAAATGGATAGGATTGATGAACAGATTATTAGAACTGTGGATCATGTTAAATTCCAGTCCAATTACTCACTGCTCCTTCTCTTCTATCTGGTATGATATATAATGAACTCTCTCACATACACACATCACTTTCAAGGGTCTTTGAGGTTAGTTTCCTTAGAGGAAATGACTAATCATTTATGCTATTTTTTTATATAACATTTACATATACATTCAGGTGAGCATAAAATGAGGATTCACATAATAAGAAAAAATAGGAAAAGATTAGTCCTTCTTGAGATGGATGAGAATACCAGAACGTATTGGCAACTAATATCTGCTCTTTGACAGAACTACCACAACTTAAGAACACTTGGAGTCAAGAATTACAGGGGCCCCATAATATATCTTGATCAGCCTCCATAACAATATGCTTAAGATACAAACATCAATATTGTTTGCACAGTTGCTATTCTAGAACACTTTAATATCATTTGCTAACTGCACAAAAAAACCCATGTTTAACCTATGGACTAAACATATGAACAATCTGCACTTTTTAAAAATAATCTCTTACTGGAAGAGAAATTTTTCAGAAATGTGTGCTCCTCAGGATCGAGGTAGGCCAAGTGCAAGTTACATTCAAGAAACTCAAGTAGACTGGGTGTGTGGCATTACTAAAATGATATTAAGAACTAATTAATTTTGGTTTATTTAAGATTTTGGATAGAAGTAAAATTATAATGAGACATCATTATAAGAGTAAAAATTATACTGCAGTATAATTCTTGTTTATAATGTCAGCAGACTAAATGTGACAGTTTAACCATCTGTCATTTAGTCAGACAAATTTTTCAAAGTTGAAAGCTTTACTGCTTTGGCAGTTGTTTTAGAAGCCGGAAAACCAACTTTAGGCAATACCCCAAAATCACAGTAGACAACCAAGCTATATTGAAGTTCAGATCAAAGACACCGGTTACAATAATATGGTGAGTTTGAAAAAAGTGCCCACGAAGACAAGTAAGAAAGGAGACTTCTAAAAGGGAAGGGGAAGTGCAGACAGAGAGGCAAAAAGGCAAAGGGTGGAAAAATAAAGATCACACAAAGTAGGTGGCCGTCAAATAGAATCTAGATCAGTGTTTGTCAAACTCAGCAACCTTAAGCTGTGTGGATTTCAACTCCCAGAATTCCCCAGCCACCTGGGAAACATCCAGATGTCTGGAATTTGAACTCCCAGAATTCTTTCCAGATTGCATGCTGGCTGAGGAATTCTGGGAACTGAAGTCCACACCGCTAGAGGGTGCCCAGTTTATATTAGGGTGTTGCAATTGTGGTGCCTCCTTTAGGGTGTTGCAGTTGTGATCCCTCCCTTTTCTCTCTTTAGACGAGCAGCCCAAACTGGTAGCATATTTTCTGTTAGCTGTCATCAGTATTAAATGTGAGTAGAAAGGTAGGCTACGAATCAAATCAGTAAATACACTAGTGCTAGTAGAACCTCTGTTCCCCCACGCCCCGCCCCGCCCCCCTTTTGCAATGGAATGATGAGCTGCATGAAATTGCTGCATATCATCTCAGAGCAGCTTGGAGACAACACTGTGGTTCATCACATTTAAGTTGGAGCTAATTGTATCTAACGTTTGTGGAAAACAGGCCCTGAGAGACGAGGATCACGTGATATCAGGAGGTTCAAGGCTGAGTCAAACAGTCTACATGAAGAACTATTGTTGCTTTTCATTTATAATTATTTATAATCTATAATTATTGTCTGGTTTTGCTTTCAGCTTCCAACGCTTATATTAAAAGCTCTACTTGCGCAGGATCTTATGACCTGCATTTTTTATTCTCTTTATTTGCCTATTTAAATATTCCTAGCTCCCCACTTCATCCTTTTTAGATTTCAGTGTGGTGCATAATAATAATAGTAAAAAATTCTACTGAAAGTGAATACAGAACAACTATGATCTATAACAATCAACTTCCAATGTATTAAACCTGCTCAGGTAAATAACATTACTTTTGCCTGACTGTGAAGTTTGTACTGTTACTCTCCCACAGACATCTCTGAGGAAAGAGTTTCAAAGTTAAGATATTCCCGGGGTGGGGGGGCGGGATTGTGCTTCCAAATAATGTTTCTATCCACCTTTGCGTTGCAGGCCAGACCCAAGTTGAAAATCCTTTATGGTGGCAAAGTCATTTCCTTGTTACTATCTAGATCAGTGTTTGTCAACCTCAGCACTTTAAGTTGTGTGGACTACAACTCCCAGAATTGCTCAGCCAGCATGCAATCTGGAAAGAATTCTGGGAGATGAAATTTCAGACATCTGGATGTTTCCCAGGTTGGGAAAAATGTCTTCCTGGCTGCAATCTGGATCTTGGGAATATGACTGTATTCCATTTAAGCATGGAGATGTAATATAATTCTAAGAAAAACACGCAGATATATAAAAACTGCAGCATATTAATTGCAAAAGAAGCCAATTTGAAGAAAGACTCTTGGTACCTAGAGACAAGTAAGAGTTATTTTACTAGTTTAGCTTGAGTACCATTAAAACCTGTTTTATAAGGTAGGTTCATTCGTAATTCTGAATATATATGGATAAAGTGTGTTATAAATCTCAATTACCATAAAACAACACCTGCTGAGGCTCCTGGCACTTTTCTCTCATTCATCACTATGAAAAACAGCTATAATCATCATCATACAAACATAATATAGAATGGGGGGGGGGGAAACCTTGGCCAGTGCTATATTCCAGGAAACAGAGCAAAGCAATAAATCCCCTTTTATGTTATAAATAAGGGCAGCCAAGTACAATTTATATGAATTAATTGTCTGTAATATTAAGAGATAAATATGTCTAATTTCTCAGTTGCCCATTTTTAATTATGATTAAAAAAAAAAGATTTCCAGAG